TGGGAGAGAGGAGGGAGAGAGGAGGCAGAGAGGAGGGAGAGAGGAGGGAGAGAGGAGGGAGAGAGGAGGGAGAGAGGAGGGAGAGAGGAGGGAGAGAGGTGGGAGAGAGGAGGGAGAGAGGAGGCAGAGAGGAGGCAGAGAGGAGGCAGAGAGGAGGCAGAGAGGAGGCAGAGCTGTCTAGAGCGGGTGTTGAAGGAGGAAGTGGGAGAGAAACCCAATTTTTGAGGAGAGCGGAGGAGAGGTACGGAGCAGACTGCATGGACCAGAGTGGGGAACAGCGTGGAATCTGACTAGTGGAGGGGAAGGTGGTGAATCCAGATTGTGATGGGCGAAGGGGCAGCACAAGGGAATGGCTATGGAGACTACTCAAGGGCAGTGTGGTCCAGCAGGTGGGGAGAGGGGCTAAGCTTTGGATATGGAAAGGGGCAGGTTTTTTTTGTTTTGTTTTGTTTTTTTCCCCAAGAAGGGAGAGCCTTGTGGACACTGACCCAAAGAGGAGGATTAGTTGAAGAGAATCTGAGTTTCAGAAGAAAGGGAGTAAACTTGAGAAACGGGAGGTTCTTCAGAAGGTGGGAGAGTATAGGATCTCATTTCCAAGGGTGGGACTGGCCTTAGAAGGGAGGGGGAAGGGGCGCTCAGATGTTTGTCGAAGGAGAGTTGAGGAGTTCATTAGCCCATGTTTTTGTGGGGGAAGAAGGGAGGGTGCAGTGTAGTCGGAAGAGGGCTGGGAGGATTTGTAGCGCAGGGGAAGGGTTCTGACATCCTGCAGTGGACTGTTAAAAATTGCTCACGAAAGCAGCTGTCTCGGTATGTGATTTTTCCCCCCCCACTGGGCACTTGCTGGCTTGGGGATGGGAGCAGGCAAGGAGAAAGCAGCAGGTGAAGCCCGCCCAGGCTCATCATGGCTGAAAACATTCAGCATTTCCCAAGCCTGGCCTTTCTCCAAACACTCTCCTGATAGATATGAAGTATTGAGACAATGAAATCTTTCTTAGATTTTTCTTTTCTTATGGACATAGTTGAGGTTCTCACAGGGAGAGTGAGTCCAGTTAAACTTAAATTTCAAAACTTCAGGCTAATTTTTTTCCAGAATGTTCTTCTTCATTCTCCCTCCCACCCCCTCTCATCTAAAACGTTCTTACAGTTTGGTTCCTGCCCTGCAATCTGGCCCCAGGTAAAAGAACAGAGATATTTATTGTGCTTCATCCAGTATTTATCTTCCCGTAATCAAATCGATTGGGCGAAGCGAGACCAAGTCTTTGTGGAATGAGCTTGGATTATATGAACTGTAGCTCCAAGTGCCCAATGCACCTACTGTTTCCTGTCATAAACCTAAAGCACAAACACTAAACCAGCTTCCTTATGGTCTTCTTAATATGGTAAGAAGTCGAAAACTGGCTTGGCAGCAAGGTCAGTGACTCCCCGCCCCCCTAGAGGGTTAGGGTTCTGCTTGGTAGGTGGAGTCAGTATTTATTGCATGAGTGTGTATGTGGTATGTGTAGATGTGTGTATGCATGCTTGCAAGTATGTGGTTTTGTGTGTGTGTGTGTGTGTGTGTGTGTGTGTGTGTGTGTGTGTGTGCGTGCAGGTGCATGTGCACGTGCGTGTGTGTGTGTGTGTGTGTGTGTGTGTGTGTGTGTGTGTGCAGGTGCATGTGCACGTGTGCGTATGCGTGTATATGTGCGTGCATGAGTGTGTGCCTGTGGAAGTCAGGGCTTGTCATCATCCTAAGTCATTACCAACAATCAACGTTTTCATAGTCCCCCCCCCCCCCCAGTTTAAAATTGCTCTCGTTTGTGGGTTTATCTCGTCAGGTTTAATTGATGTTGACTAGGGAACACTAGGGGGCTGGGAAGGATCTAGAAAGGGTTAAGTGGGGTAAGCGTGCATTGTCAGTGGAGGTGACGTCACAGCCAAGGGGATGGAGATGGGTTCTGCGAAGGGAGTGAGAAACTTAGAAATGACGCAGTTGTGTCCTCCAAGGGGCCACAGAACATGGCCGATAGAGGAATTTGAGATGTAAGCGTTTCGTGGGGGACGTGAGGATTAGGTTTAAAGTTGCTGATGGGCCAGCAGGATGCCTCAGCAAATGAGAGTGCTTGCGATCCATCCCTAGCGTCCACATGGTGGAAGGAGAGAACAAACTGACTACCCACAGATGCCTTCTCACCTCCACACGCATTCGGGGGCGTGTGTGCACCCGCGCCCACTCGTCATCCGCGGGTGTGCACCCGCGCCCACTCGTCATCCGCGTGTGTGCACCCACGCCCACTCGTCATCCGCGTGTGTGCACCCGCGCCCACTCGTCATCCGCGGGTGTGCACCCGCGCCCACTCGTCATCCGCGGGTGTGCACCCGCGCCCACTCATCATCCGCGTGTGTGCACCCCACACCCACTCACCATCTGCGGGTGTGCACCCCACACCCACTCACCATCTGCGGTGTGTGCACCCCACACCCACTCACCATCTGCGGGTGTGCACCTGCGCCCACTCGTCATCTGCGGGTGTGCACCCGCGCCCACTCATCATCTGCGGGTGTGCACCCCACACCCACTCACCATCTGCGGGTGTGCACCCCACACCCACTCATCATCTGTGTGTGTGCACCCGCGCCCACTCATCATCTGCGTGTGTGCACCCCACACCCACTCATCATCTGCGTGTGTGCACCCCACACCCACTCATCATCTGCGTGTGTGCACCCGGGCCCGCTCATCATCTGCTCACACATCCATACACACACAAATAAATAAGGAAATGTAAAAACATTATTTTAAAGTCAGACTGTTGAAAGTTGCTGAGGTCAGCAAAGGGAGGCGGGTAGGAGGGGTGGGGGGTGACAGTGGAAAAAAGGACACCCGGTGCTGGTGCCAGGAGAGTCCAGGACTGAGTCCCCTGTCTCAGCGTGTCTGATAGTCGTCCTGGCCCTCCGGCTTCCGCCTTCATTGGCCCTGCCCACTTGACTCAATACTCGAAATGACCATGTTTTGTGCTCTAAGCCTTTTCCTCTTCCGGTTCCAGCTGTCTGAATGAATACCGGTATGAGCTGCAGGTTAGGGCCCAGAGCTACCTGTGAAGGGTGGGTCCCAGGCACTCCGCCTGCCCTTCTGTACTTTAAATGCAGAAAAATTATCTTTTGAGAATTCCATACATATATACAACATATTTTGATCGTTTCCATCCCCTACTCACTAATTCCTGGATCTCCACACATCCCCCTCCCAAATTCATGTTTACTTTTTTTTTTTCTTTCTTTTTTGGGAGGGTTTTGAGACAAGGTTTCTCTGTGGAGCCCTGGCTGTCCTGGAACTCGCTCTGTAGACCAGGCTGTCCTCAAACTCAGAGATCCGCCTGCCTCTGCCTCCCAAGTGTGGGGATAAAAGGTGTGTATCACCATTCCCAGCTTTTTTTTTTTTTTTTTTTTTTTAAATAACTCACTGAGTCCAAAATCAATGATCCCCAAATGTTCATGGGTGTGAAGCCATCAAACAGGACATGGTTAACTTGTCAGGAGCTGTAGTCCAGAAGAAAACCGACTGGCCCTCTCCTGACCTACTCTGTCACTTTACAGAGGTGACTAAGACAGGCTTCAAAACCTTGGGTCTGTCCTGTCTCCAGTCCAGACATCAGCAGGCCGGCCGCTCATTCACTTGGATGGGAGTGAAGAGATCAAGAGAAACCCTCATGGAGAAGGGTTTCTCAGTGGCTGCATGGTCCCTCCTACCAGATGATTTTCTCCTCTGGGAAGCTTCCCTGTGCACAGCTTCCAGTGTCCACCGATGTCAGCGGTACCCTTACCTAGCTGTGACAATTCCACATTCCCCAGAGAGAAGTGCACAATCACTGTATGGCAATGAAAAAATACTAAAACACACGCGGCCGCGGCGGCAGCAGCGGCGGCGGCGGCGGCGGCGGCGGCGGCGGCGGCGGCGGCAGTGGCAGTGGGGCGGGAGTGGGGGCGGGGATACAACCACTTCCTATCCTGAACCACTGTTGTAGAAAACCCAGGGGACTGGCAACCCTGGGAAGGGATGCTGATGTGGCCATCAGCCTGGCTCAGCAAGGGCTCATTATTGCCTGAGCTGCCTGGTGCTGGGCTAGCCTCCTGACATTCAGTCACAGCTAACACCCCTAAGAGCTCACTAAGGATGCCCTCTGCAAGCAGTGATGCAGTTATGCTACCCCAACCCCCCACCCACCCCTGTGCTTATGAATGAGAACATGGAGACAGGAGGAACCAGCTGGCAGTACAGTCACCAGGCAGTACAATGCCACGGGTTTATGACCTCCCAGTTTATTGTCCTTCCTGCCAGGCCTGTCCTTCTTTATCTTTCATGAGACCATCATTACTGCTAGCGTCACAGCCCTCGTAGACGTTCCTGGGCTCTGTCTATGCTGACATTGCCAGGGTGTTGCCAGGATGTCTGTTTCAGGTGTCTGCATGGCATACTCTCCTATCTCCAGAGAGACTCTCCCTCAGAGATAATGAGCCTTAGACTTCGGTACCATAGCACCCTCCTTGTTCCCTGGCCACGTGTTCTGCACTAACACAGACCCGATTATCGTTTGTCCCCATCCCCACAAACAAGGCTGACATTCCTTGGCATACGGTAGTGCCTGTTACATGTGTAGAATGAGTGAAGACATACTTAGCAGAATGTCATATCTAGATTCGGGCTATCGGTAACTACTTTTCTGCAATACTGTTTAGAGAACATTCTTTCTCCGGAGCGCCAGAGACGTTTGCGAGAAGAGTGGTACAATTCTGGGACTGTCTGCCAACAGGAGGACCAGTGTGCCAGGCTCTCCTGACTAATGCCTGTCAGATTTATCACCAAGTGGCCCATGTCACTCACACATACTCATTTAATAAACTTTGCTTTCGTAGTCGGTAAAAGTAATTCAATAGAATTATGATAATATACACACAAACATTATGTTTAGGATTAGGCATAACAAATCATATAGTAAATTATAAGCTATAACTTGAAAAAATATTACAGGTTAACCAGGTCAGATTTTGTACAAAAATCACCATAAAGTGAGTCTACCTTTATGGAGACACTATTCACAAGTTGAAAATAAAATAGTTTTAATTAAACTTTGTTAAAGTGTTATCAATTGCTGTCGTTACATAGAAAGTGAAACCACACAGACATTACAGATAGAAATGCTGTTAAATTGTAGTTGAAGTTCCCTACTGCTCTCCACTTTATTTTTTAACTTTATTTATTTATTAGACATATGGATGTTTTGTCTGCATGTCTGTGTGCCACATGCACGCCTTGGAGGCCAGAAGAGGGTTTTGGATCCCTTTGGGACTGGAGTTTCAGACAGTTGTGGGCCATCGTGTGGGTGCTGGGAATTGAACTGAGGTCCCCTGGAAGAACAGTCAGTTCTCCGGACTGTTGAGCTGTCTCTCTAGCCCCTATGCATTATTTTTTGAGATGAGGTCTCTAATTGAACCTGAAGCTTGTATATGTGGTCAGGTTAGCTGGCCAATGAGCTTCAGGGATCTACCACCCCTTCTGTACGTGGCACTGGGAGTACAATCACCCACCATCATGCCCAGGGTTTAAGATGGGTTCTGGGCCTCTGAACTCAGGTCCTTGCGCATATGTGGCAAGCGATTTACCAACTAAGCCATCTCTCCAGCCCCAGGTCCTAAGCTCTTGAGGAGTTCCGGGAGTTATTTGGATGTGGATGGTAGAATAAATTCTCTCCTTTGAAGTGGTATATAAATGAACTCCAACCAACCCTGCTAGTAAAGGCAGCTAGCTACTCAAGTATCTCAGAGGATGGAGCACGCGGTTGCTGCTTAGAAGAATGGTGGAAGAGAATTTTGACCTCTCTCTCTGTCTTTCTGTCTCTGTCTCTGTCTCTGTCTCTGTCTCTCTCTGTGTGTGTGTGTGTGTGTGTGTGTGTGTGTGTGTGTGTGTGTGCGTGTGTGTATACAATGCTTGTACAGGTGCCCATGGATATCACAAAAGAGATTCAGATCCTCAAGTTGGCAATTGTGAGAGCCACACAACCTAGGTGCTGGACACTGAGCTCAGGTCCTCTCCAAGAGTACACACTCTTAACCTCTGGGCCATCTCTCCAGCACTTTCTATAGAAAGACATGTATTTAACATGTCTTGGAGCCAGGAAGTGAATTTTGTCGCTGTCTAACATAGGAGGCACCTTGTGCCACAAGAGGTGAGTAGGCCCTGGACAGACAGCCGGGCAGTGGGATGAGCATCCAGAATTCCACACTGAGAGGCTCTGATCCCACTAGCCCTGAAGAAGCATTTGGCAGTGTGCATCTGTACAAGGTGGTCTCAAAGCACAGCTGGATCTAGGGACATCTGCAAAGACTGGAAGAAATAATTTTCCTTATTAGGGGAGATGCCTGTTAGTAACAGGAGGAGATAAATACTAGAACTGAGATCTTCATAAAAGAATTATGTGCAGAGCTCCCAAAGTGATCCACACATTGTTACAATGCATACGTTGCACAAGAAAGGGCTGAGTTGCTGGTTGTCACGCTGTATTTGAATATACACTATCCCACATAGGCTCATGCAGTTCACCACTAAGTCCCCAGTTTTTTGGTGCTGTTTGGGAAAGTCACAGAACTTTTGGGTGGAGCCTTGCTGGAGGAAGTGTGTCACTGGGGGTGGGTTTTCAGGTTTTACAACCTGGCCCAACTTGCTGTTCTTTCTCTCTGTGTCCTGTGTGTGGGTGAAATATGATCTGCCAGCCTTACACCCCTGCTACCATACCGTACCCCCCATGATGAACTGTACCCACTGGGATTATAAACCAAATAATCCATTCTTCCCAAAGTCGCTTTTTGCAATGGTGTTCTGTTGCAGCTGCCTTCCACCAATTCTTAAGGCAACAGAGACTCAGTTCATCATCTGACTCCAAAAAGGGTAGTGATTTTTATATATGTTAGATAATAGCAAAAGACAATACAAAAACTCTACAAAGATGATTATGTCCATTTTTTAGAGCCCCATGAGAATGAACATTGGCTACTGGTAGTTAGAAAACTTACAAGGGGAAGCAGAAGCTTGGGTTACAATTTTCATATCACTGCAGGGCAGTTTCACAGATGTCAGGAAAACACTGAGGAGAGATGCCGTCCAGACCCACCACACCGTGAACTTGAGCGCCAGTCTGGTTGGGCGGGGTGTTTGCTTCCTGTTTCTGGTAACTGACAATGCGATAGGCAGACTCACAGGTAAGCAACCCCCCCTGCTCCTGCTTCCTTGAATGTGCTGGGAACTCTGAGGCCTGGTCTCTGTGGAAGTTGCTGGGAGCTCTTTGGTGAAAAGCCCCCTTTCCCTGGTTTTTATTCTCCCCCTTCTCACTGGGGGGACATGGACAGGGAGGCTTATGGACTTGCTCTGTGGATGCTGCTTGCTGTGTCTAATGGGTCTCCAGGCCATAGTCTCTGAGGTATAAACAAGTAGGAAGGCCAAGGAGAGGAGGAAGGTGGCATTCTCGCTCGGTGGGTGGAGGGGCTGCTCAAGGTTCCTGAGTCTGTCTCTTCAAGAGAGAAAGAGATTGTTTCTTGGCTTTAGGCTCAGATGCAGTGTAGACCTGAGTACAGACACAAAGACTCTTCTGCTTGGGCCTGTGGAGGCACAATTGATGCTCAGCTTGCTCGTCTGGTGATACTGTTAAGGCTTGGGATCATTTAATGGTGGCTGAGGCTGGAACCATCTGGTACAGACAGATCCCCTAAGCCTTCTTGGTAGACTTTCCCCAAGGCGTGGGAGGAAGACAGAAGATTCAGTGACAGATTACCTTGCTCTTGTTGGGATTTGACCTGAAGGTATCCCAGCAAATCCATAGCCTCGCTACAGACATCTTGGAGTTGAGAAACCTTTTTATAAGGCAAGGACCGACGCCATGCCTGGGAAACATTGATAGCATCCCTGGAGCCAGTGTGGAAGGCATGCTGGCCCATACCCTTGCCACGGGTGACGTTGTGAATCCAGGTTTGGAGATGCGGCAAGAATTTCAACCCCACAAATTCGTATAGCCTGGAGGTCTGGGCCAGAGGTGCCTGAACCAGGTCCTCATACCTCAGGAGCAGGAAGCGCTGCTGCAGGGCTTTGGGCAGGGCTTGGATGGCCTTGACTATGTCCACATGGCTTTTGCAGATGATCTGCATGACATAATAGGGGTGGTCTGTCTCCTTGATCATTTTCAAATGTTCTCCCAGCACCATACGACTGTCAATCATGAGGTCTCCTCTGGTGTGTTCCCGAGATCGGAACACAGCCCGGGGGTCTCGGACCAGGTGCACGACATGCAGGTTGAGGGAAGGGTCTGTGAGCAGTGGGTAAAGGGCCTGCAGGTTGAAGAAACGCACCTCCTTGAGTACCACATGACTGTGAGAGCTGCAGGCCTTCTCCACCTTATCAAAGGGCTGCTGAGCACAGAGCATCCTGCAATTGTTAGGTGAGCTGATCTGGTCACTAGAGAAGAAGTCACAAACAGGTGACGAGCACAGGGCCCGGCTTTGCTCCCACTGGAAGAGGCTAGACTGTTTTCGGGGGCCTGGCTTCATGTAGGCATCAAAGACACTCATGTCACACAGGAAGACGGAACGCAAAAGGTCCCGAGTTGCCATCTGCAGCTTCCAGGCGGTGCTGGTGGTGAAACTCATCCACACATGCCAGGCAGGCTCCATCAGGTAGAAGACATCTGGGTGCTGCCCAAAAATCTGCCCCACAAAAGAGGATCCTGACCGCCAGGAAGACAGGACCAGCACGTGCACAGGCCTCCTGGGCTCTTCGTTCTGGAACAATCCTCCATGGCTGGACACATGGAAGAAGAGAGCTATGACTACCATCTGAGAAACCAGGAACAGTAGCAGCTTCCCTCTCTTAGGCAGTATCATCCTGTGGAAGTAGAAGACCTTTAAGGGGCAAGCAGAGGGATGGGGCTGAGTTAGGCTATGGTAGCGTCTGCCTTCTGGCTTTTCCTGGACCCCCTCCAAAGAACAATGTAAAAATTTGGAAACTTTGTGCAAGCACTTGTCCAAATCCCTCTGCAGAGTAATTCTGGTTTCTTGTTCTAATTGGATCACTGTGTTCTGTATTTTACAGTCTTTAAAACTTCCCCTCTGGTCTTTCTTGTCTGTTGAACTATCAAGAATATCCCAACTCAATATATTCAATCAATATAAGGGACACTGCCACACCCCATACCTTCTGCACCCCTGACTGAGAGTGGCCTGAAGGCAAAGCTGTCTGTCTGACCAAGTCCTGCATGAATGCCTTTGGTTTTCCCAAAACCAAGAGAAGTGAGACACTCAGCCGTGGGGCACTCCTTACCGGTTCCTTCATGTGAAGGAGAGTCTCACAAAACCATTCCTCATCCCTCCCCCATTTTGATGATGCCTGGGACCTTCCTACTGCAATCTCCTGAGGGTTAGGGATGTAGGCTGTCAAACTGACTGGCTTTAGAGTGTTCTCCTTAGCGGCACAGCTATGCATCACATCTGACATCAGGTTCCTCTGGCTTAGCCTCATCCCATGGGACCAAGAACATGGGGGAGCTACTCCACAGCTAACTTTGTGTCTATGTAGGAGATAAATGACCTGAACCCATTTCAGCAGAAACATGGTCTCCTTAAAGTTGGCTCTATAGACGTGTGGTGAGCCAGCCCAGGAGCTGTGTTAGAGACACCCGTGGCTGTTCGGTGGGAGGGCTTCAGCTTGGGAAATGCCTGGCTGCTTTGAAAACCTACTCAGGACTACTCAGCATGGCTGGGCAAGTTGTACTGCACAATACCAGAGAATGTCACCTCATCAAGAATTCAGATGCTCATTATACCAAGTGATAGTAGAAGAAGGTGTTGGGGGGGTGTTCCAGGAGCTGTATATTCAATATTTAAAGAACATGTTTCATTTGTAATTTACATAAAAACTAATGAAGACTGGTGGGACTTCCGACTTTACTCTTTTCACAATAAGGGCTTATTTCATATGAAAAGACCTTCACATGGGGCCCTTGGTAGGTCAACCGCAATGGATGGCCTCACATCCCTGAGTCCACAAATTAGATTTGGTGGGTTATTAAAAAAAAAAAAAAAGGACATGAAATTTGGGGCATGGGGGATGGGTAAGGAGGTGTGAATAAACCTGAGAAAAGCTGGGGAGGATTGTACGGATGTATGAAATTCTCAAAGAACTAAGAAAATATATTAAAAACCATATAATAATAGAAAGTACATATTTCAATGCAGAGAGAAGGAGAGAAAAAGAGTGTAAACCGAAGTCAACAAGAGGGCTTAGCAACTAACAGTACTTGCTGATAAACCTGAGTGTGATTCCCAGGATCAATATGGTGGAAGGAGAAAACTGGCCACTGCAAGTCGTCTTCTGATTTCCATGGGTGCATGTGCACGTATACACTCACATGCATATGCACGCATGCACACGCACACACACATAATTTCAAATAGTCTGGTACCGAGTGCCATGCTGGTGTATCCACCTAGATAGTTTCTAAAAATTATTTGTTTTTGTTTTATGTGTGTGAGTGTTGGCTTGTAAACCACATGCATACACACCCTTGGAGACCGGAAGAGGGTGTTGGATGCCTGGGGACTAGAGTTACAGATGGTTGCTAGCCATGACATGACATGAGCATGGCCATATCAAGGACCCCAATGTCTCAGACCCATGGAAATGGCAAAAGCTTCCTCTGGTCCTAGTATGAGTGTTGACAGCATGTACAGAAAGCATCAGCCCTCATCTGGGATGTTTACAGCCAGAGACTGCTCTCCTACAGAGACCCCCCCCAACTGAAACCTGCTAACCCCTGTCCCTTGTGTAGTACACAGTAAACGTGCCGAGTTTGGGGCTGTGTTGTGAGTGTCCTCCATCAGGGTGAGCACAGCCCACCCATCCCCAGCTTTTCTATGTCATTTCCTCATTCCCATGTCACCCCAATCACGTTTCCAGGACTGAGCTGTGTAGGGAGCAACAGTAGAGTACCTGTCTAGCATGTGCAAGGCCCTGAGTGCTAATGAAAACTTAAGTGCAGTTGGAACGACTTCGATTTCGATCTCTAAAATATGGTTTACTTCCCAGAACCTAAAACCACCCCAAAAGACAGTCTTAACTGAGGAATTGTGTCGATCGGTTTGGCCTGTGTGCGTATCTGTGGGGAGCTGTCTTAATTGTTAAGGTGGAGCATCCACACTGAACGTGAGCACCATTCCTCTGTGATTCCCCTGCAATAACGGACTGTAACCCGGACCCGAGAGCCAGGCAAACCCTTTCCGCTCCTAAATTGTTTTGCACGGGGTATTCTGTCACAGAGGCGGAAACAACACTAGAACAGGATAATTTGTCTGTGTTCGTAATTCTAGGAGGCTCTTGCCCTCTTACAAGGCTCCCCTTTTCAAAGGTTTTAAGTTTTCGTTTTTTTGTAATTTTGAGGTAGGTTGGCCTGGTTCCTACTGTGTAGCCCAAGATAGCCCTAAACTCCTGGTGATTCTTCTGCCTCAGCCTCCTAAGTGCTGGAATCATAGGAATGAGCTACTAAGCCCAGCTTTTTAAATATTTATATTTATTAGCATATTTTAAATATACAAAATAGTGAGTTTCACAAGTTGTTTCTAGACACATATATGATACGCTTGGATAATATTCACCCCTAGTACCCTCTCCTACCCTCCATCACCCACTGACCCTCTCGTCCTCTGTCACCCACTGGCCCTCTCGTCCTCTGTCACCCACTGGCCCTCTCGTCCTCTGTCACCCACTGGCCCTCTCGTCCTCTGTCACCCACTGATGTTCTCAGTCTAGCTATCTTTCACTTTCACAGCCTAAAACATATTTTTAGGACTCACTGAGTTTAATTAGATTTGTTTGGATAGGAATGGGGGTGTGTGTGAATATGATTAAATACATTAGATACATATAAAATTGTCAAAGGATAAAAACAAAAACAAAACAAAACAAAAAAAGCCAAATGTTCAGACTGTCTACTCAAATGGGGTGTTTTTAATAGGAAATTTTCACATGGTTCAAATTGTTTTGAAAAGACTTGTTCTCGTGGACATGAAGTCCATAGAGTAGGAACTGAAACCGTGGCTTTCTTAAGAGCCTCTACGCAGGAGGGGGAAGCTACAGGAGCACTTGCTGGGAGACCCAGGTCTCTGACTTGTGGAAGACAAGCAGTTGGTTCTGTAGGGGAAGTTAGGACATTCTTAGAGCTATCTGTAGGCCGGTGTAAGCGGCACAGCTTCAAGTAGATCACAGCGTTGCTCTAGAGGAAAGAAAACGTAAGACTTTTCCTAGTGACTTGGTGAACTCGTCCCAGTTTCTAAGAGTCAGTATTGATCTTGTCATTGGTACACAGTGAAAACTCTACCTCCAAACCTGCTTATCAGGTTATCAGCTCTCTGCTACACAACAATGGTTCATTTTATTGTGTCATTTCAGCTGCAATTTATACACACAAGGGGATTTAAATGTTTATAAACCCTGAACAATTTCCTTCCCTCTTAAAAAGAGAAACATAGTAAGGTAACCCTCCCTACCCAGAACGCTTGGCTTTTTTTTTTCCTTCTCATCATCATGTCTTGGGGGATACAGAACACAAAGCATCTCCTTGTTTCTTTTTACTACACAGAATTCTATTGTCTGGACACACAACAATTTATCTGGGGTGTTCCCAAGCTCCCCTTATTTCTAAGACTCCAGTCTTCTTCTTGTCTACACACTTGTAAGATTAAATCCCCAGAAGTGAAATGTTGAGTCAAAAAGTGTGTGCGCGTGTGTGTGTGTGTGTGTGTATGTGTGTGTGTTTATGTGTGTATGTGTGTGTGCATGTGTGTGTATGTGTGTGTGTTTATGTGTGTGCGTGTGTGTGCATGTGTGTGTATGTGTGTGTGTATGTGCGTGTGTGTGTGTGTGTATGTGTGTGTGTGTATGTATGTGTGTGTGTGTGTGTGTGTGTGTGTGTGTGTGCGTGTGTGTGTGTGGCAGCCGTAGCCAGGCAGCCTTCATGCTGCCTGTGAACATGGAGGAAGGTATTGAAGAGTGGGCTTGGGAGAAGGAGGCAGCCACGGAGGGGATTCTTGGAGTCTGTAACTTGCCTCCTCAAGAGGTACGACATGCTTTGCCAGCTCTCAGGCTTCCCTTGGAAGTCCCCTTGAACATTCTGGAAGTGTGTCATAGCGTGTCATAACCCTCACCAGAGTTCGTGTGCCAGTGCCCCCCATCTCTCCCATTCATGCTTTTCCTCTGGATGTACCAAAAGCACCAACCGAGGACCAGCCTTTTTTTTCTGTTTTTTTTTTTTTTTTTTTTTTTGTGTGTGTGTGTGTGTGTGTTTATGCATATGTGTGGCTATTTGTGTGAGGACCACTGTAAAACCTGGTGCCATTTAATTCTTCATATAGCATACACCTTCCTTCCTTCCCCGCCCCCCTCTCTCCCAAATCCCCAGGCCCCATGCCCAGAGCCTTCCTCTGCCTCTCTTTGAGTTCCTGTTCCCCCCTCGGTTTCTTCCGCCTCCATCCTCAGAGTCAGCCTTTGAATCTTCCCAACCTGTCTTGTTGCTGAGGAGCCTGGCGACATTTAGAGGACGGCCACTCTTCCTCCAAGAGACTACCCAGAGGCCCCTTTTTCCCCTAAAGAATTCTATCTCGCTGGGCAGTGGTAGCGCACGCCTTTCATCCCAGCACTTGGGAGGTAGAGCCAGGTGATCTCTTGAGTTTGAGGTCAGCCTGGGCTACAGAGCAAGATCCAGGACAGGCACCAAAGCTATACAGAGAAACCCTGTCTCGAAAAACCAAACAACAACAACAACAACAACAAATACTCTTCCTTGCCTCCCAAATGTCCACTAGCCTCCCTCCCACTGTGCAGGGCACAGCTGCAGACGTCCCATTGAGAAGCCACTACTGAAGAGGCAGCCATGTCTCAGCTTTCTCATGTTGTGTATCGCTTCCACATCTGATTAGGACTCCCTAAGCCTCCTGAATCAACCAAGATAGTCGGGGAACAAGGAAGAGTCACATTGTTCAAAAGCAGAAGCCGAAACCCCTTTGAGCTTTATTTGAGACAGGGTTTCCTGTGGCTCAGACTGGCCTCCGAACTGGTCATGTAGCCGAGAATGATCTTGAACTTCTGATCCTCCTACCCCCACCTCTTCCAGATTACAAGTGTGCACAAAATGTCACAGCGGTAGGTGCCTATCATCAGCTTGGGAATGAGAAGGAAACTTATGAGAATGTTCAGGTCTTGAGAACCATCAACAGAGGGGTATTGGTGAGGAGGAAGGCATCGGGGTTGGGGGCCTCCTCCAGCATCCTGACGACAGGTGCCTGGATTACAGATCCTCCCCAGCCAATCAGGAGCAAGCTTTTAGAAGCACAATGGGAAATCCTGACCAAGATCAACTAAACAAACCAACCCCTTGATACCAGTCTAAGAGGCCAGCATCCTAAAGACTGGAATCACTTTAGTTTCTCTCGTGAAATGATGCCCCTAAAAGCAGAAGTTAGAGGTGGTGGGAAAGAGCTTTTCACAAACAGGAAGAACGGGGGTGGGCTGGGGACACTGGCCTCATCACAAACAGCCAATAGACCTGGGGAACTCTTGGGGTTAAGCTCCCAGATAAAAGTGACCACAAAACAAACTTGTTTCAGACAGTGTCTCCCACTGCATCCAAAGCTGGTCCCCAAACTCACAGCAATCCTCCTGCTTTTGCCTCCCAAGTGCCAGGATTACATGCTTAGCTACCGCACTCCAAAGAACAAACTTGACCAGCCTGATGTTGTCCTGAGTGCCCATGGACAGTGCTGGGCGCACAGCCCAGGAAATGCCTGTCCACGAGTGTCTGATTGAACCAGTTTCTGCGGGGACAGTCTTGACACTTGAGGTGTTCTTGTTGACTCAAGGAGAGTGGGGCAAGATGTTTTTATTTTATACATATCAAATTATTCCAGGCCCAGTGAAACAGATTACCTAAGGCCATTTGAGGCAGAGGTCTCCTCCACCTCAGCTGGTATGCTGGCTCCATAGACACCCTTATATTCCACATCTACAGTACACCCTGAACTTCTAGACCCCCTCAAGGGGGCAGTTATAAAATACAATCCAATTAGACACAGTTGGACATTCAAAGCAGTGCCGGCCACTTCCCTGTTTTCAAAATTTACCTCTTCTGTATGTAGTGTGTATGTCACATCCTGTGTGTGGAGGTCAGAGGACACCTGTGGAAACTGATTTGCTCTTTCTACCAAGTGGGTCTCCGGAATGGAATTAAGAGCACCAGACTTCTCGGCAAGGACCCTTACCCACTGACCTATCTCACTGGCCCCACTTCCCTGTTTTTCAAAAGGAACCACTGACATTTGATTGATTGTCTAGGTGCAATAGCTCTGCTCATCTGATCTAATTCATGGCCACACTCCACTCTGCCCGAGCCACACAAAACCTACAGCTTCCTTCTCTTATCGCCCATCCAGCAGAGAACAGGAGGGAAGCCGGCCTCTGGAGGGTCAGATACACTGGGGCTACAATACAACAGTCCTACCCACATTTGAGGTCCTTTTCTCATCCTTTATGGATGGGGCTGGTGGGGTAGGGCTTCTGGGAAGTAGCTTGAGTTTCCAGAAGATTCCTTTGGAGATTCAGAGTCCGATTCACCCCCCCTCTTCCCCTAACTCTCTTCCTTCAGTCATCAGAATCCCCAGCTTAGATGTCAGATGGTATCTGATACTCTGATCCTGCAGCCGTGGGACAATGCCCTTCATGGTAGCTGCACCCTGAGGAACTCTCTTCTTACCTTGTTAATGGCTTGGGCTTCCCCTGTGAGACTCAGCTTCACTGCCTGCCAGGCAGAGCACCGTTCCTCCTCTGACTCACGAACTCCCCCACCGCTTCCTCCTCCTCCTCCTCCTCCTCCTCCTCCTCCTCCTCCTCCTCCTCCTGGCATTTTTCTTACCCACCCCTCTGACTGTCTCTCTCCCTTATGTTGAGACAACAACCCACCTTGCAAGACAGGCTCCAGGCAGGCTCTGGCTCCCCCAAAACTGTGGCTTGAGCAGCTTGAATATCTTGAGGGTGGAGGGGTGAGGGGTGGAGGGGTGGAGGGGTAGAGGGGTGGAGGGTGAAGGGGTGAGGAGCTGCACTCCAGGTAGGCTAAGCTGAGGGGGATGACAGATGACCCTGGAATGTCCACTCTTCTCAGGCAGCCAGAAGGATGCCTTCTTAAGGCATCAAGGAGGAGGAGACCCCTGGAGCACCAGATGAGGGCTGAAGGGGTGTTACCAGACAGCTAGGCAGCAGAAGGCCCTGAAGATTTTGTAAGCCTCCCTCCCGCCTGCATTTTACTCTTATCTCTAAGGAGGCCGTATAAAGATTATTTTCCTGCATCACACCTGTTCCTCTACTCCACCCTAGGGGAGGTAACATTTCTTAGCGCCTATGTCATGTCCAACAACTTCACCTCCACGGGAGAGCTAACAAATATGTTCCAGTCTGGGAGAAGATAGATTCACCAGTGTTTGGTTTAATTAAAGGGTGAAGAATTCTCCTTTACTACAAAAAGCAAGTTATTGAAAAGCGTAGCTTCTTATTGGCTGTGTGTCCGTGGCAAGTCACAGACCCACTCTGGGCTTCTTCATCTGGCTGTCAACAGTCTAAATCAATAGATACATATGGAAAAATGTAAACTTCCATGGAGTACGGAAGCCGAGTTCTGACAGGAATATCAACATAAATAAGGATGACAATGCCTGCCTTACATATTGTGAATGTCAGGATTAGTGTACACAAATCCCCTTGTCCAATTTTATAATAGTAATAAAGGTTTCAGAGTGTTAGTTATGGAGACTCCAGAGATGGTTCAGTGGTTAGGAGCACATGCTGCTCTTGCAGAGGGTCCTTCCTAGCTCAGTTCTAGCAGCCACAGCTGCTGTAATTACAGCTCCAGGGGACCTGAAGCCACTGGCCTCTGTAGGCACTTGGCACCCATATACACATACTCACACACACAACAAGCACACACACACATACCCACACAACACACACACACACACACACACACACACACACACACACACACACACACCTATAAATAAATCTTGAAAGCGTGTTAGCTATTATTTCATAATGACTGTACCTCTTCTTAATAGCTGCTGAGCTATTTTTCAGGCTTCACAAAAGAGCAAGCAGGCAGTGTGGGAGTGAGTCACACCCAGGTCTGGCATATTCCCATCAGCGGTGTCTCCGAAGGCCTTATCGTTATACAAATGACAAGAACCTGTGGAGGCTCCGAGTATTGATTTCAGCTGTGTCCCTCCCCGCTTCCTGCTTCCTCCTGGCGCAGAGCAGACAAATTTCTCTTCATCCGCGTGGCTGTTCCGAGATGGAAGCTGAAGAACCAGCAATGTGCAGCTGTGTACTGCTCCTGTTCTCAGTTTCGGGGTGGTCCTCACTGAGTGGCAAAGAATTGAAGAGTGCAGTGTGTGCAAGGAAGGATATCCGACCCTCTACCATGGTGCTGCCCAGGGAGTTTCTGCTTATCTTTTCCCCATGCATGTAGAAATCTGTATAATTAGCCAGCCATGGTACCTCATACCTGTCACTCCAGCACAAAACGATTTGTATTTGTTTTTTTCTCTGTGTGATCTGTGTGTGTGTGTGTGTGTGTGTGTGTGTGTGTGTGTGTGTGTGTGTGTGTGTATGTGTGTGTGTAGACCAGAGGTGGATGCTGGGTGCCTTCTTCTCTTGCCCTCCACTTATTTTTCTTTAGAAATAAGATCTCTCATTGAACTCAAACTCACAGCTTTGTCTGGACTAGCTGGCCAGCAAGTCCCCAGAATGCCCCTGTCTCTGCCTCCCCAGCCCTGGGGTTACAGGCATTTGCTGCCACGCTCAGCCTTTTTAAGTGAACGCTGGGAATCAAACTCCACTCTTCACGCTTGTAAAGCAAGTGTTCTGTAAGTCATCTCAGCCCTTTGCTTTTACTTCAAGATAATTTAAGTTACAAAATACAATTTGGACACAAAGGTACAATTTAACAAATCAGAGCATCATCTCTTAAAAATAAGAAAACAACCCAAACCAGACTCTCACTGAGGGGTCTTCTCCATGTCCTTCCCCTCAGATGTCCCTGACTCGGCACTTGGGGAGGCTCCTTTCACCACAGTCAGCTCCTTGATTGGCTCATAGTTTATCACCATACAAGCCTGGTGGCATTTTCCTCATTTTGACCTGTCTGTTGGGGAATCCCATAATCCTTATCCTTTGAGATTTCCTCATTTCATTCTGAAGTATGCTTGTGAGACTCATCTTGATGTTTCACGCTTTGTTTTCTTGCTACAGATTGCTCTATGCGTGACTATACCGATGCTAGTTCGAGGACACTAGAACTATTTACAGTTATGACTCAAGAGGATTAGCATACACCCTGGCAGACGTCGACTGTGGAGTCTACTTCATTTTACATCATAAACATTTACCCATGTCAGCTAATCCTTTTTTCTTCAAGACAGGGCCTCATTCTATAGCCCAGGCTGACCTGGAAATCACTAGGTAGCCAAGGATAGCCTGGAGTTTGTGATGACCCCTCCTGCCTCAGCCTTCCAAGTGCTAGGATTCCAGGCTCCAGCTGCTGCACCCAGCTCCATTCAGCTAATGCTTTTTGGAAGATGACCTTTTCATTAAACCTAGGCAGGCATCCACAGATTAATTTTTATTGATGCTAACTGAGACCTCCTTAGAGTTTCCTCATAAGAACCTATGAGCAGCCCCCTGAGTTCTACTGATTTTTCTCCACCAGTGATGTTATTTGTAGGGAAGAGTCAGGGTTCTGTTGAACATGCGGCCCGCCTCCTTTGGAAGCACAGGGAACACGTCCTTCACTGAAGCTCCTCCCTGTAAGATTTCTACTGGTTACATTCAGTCTCTTTGGAGACTATATGGCCTTCTGATCAAGAGAATAGGTGACTCAACAGCAGCATCCCATCATTCTCTGGGTCTCAGCTGATTATGGAGGGCACGAGCTACAATGATGACTGTCCTCTATGATCCTCTTATCTTCAGTGGTGAAGGTCACCAGGCTTTGGTAGTTAAACACCCAGAGGGACTGCCTTACCAATCTTGTCATTTTAACTTTCGTGTAAGTTTCAGACAAAGAGTAGATAACAAAACCAAACAATTTTTTAGAAATCCCGTCTCTTAAGACCCAGTTTTTCCAAAGTGATTGAAGCCTAAAAAAGTTAGTGAAAACACAAGCAGTTATATTGATAGTATGCACACATTTTGTCTTAATTGTTTTATAAATATTAACCATGAGTAAATCATTATCTTAAGAGATACCACTGGTTTAACAGACATTTGGTATTGATGTCTTGAACTTTGAACTTTGAACTTTTTATAATCTTCAATCACAAAGCATATGTCATCCTTAAGTCTTATGGGCCACAGTTCTGTGACTTAGGTTAAAATTGCCTCTTTTGTTCTTTTATGTTTTATTTTTAGGATGAAACCTTACTTTGTCACTGTGTCATGAGTGATGTATCCCCTTGCAAAGATCATCCAGCAGGGCCCCCCTCCCCACAATAAAGGCATGAGATTCTCACCTGCGTTTCCAATGGCTCCCTGCTACCTGACAGCACTGCAAGGGGCTAGAGGCTGGGGAAGATGGGGGCTCCATCCAAGTGGCTATGAGGAAGCCCTCATTGGTGCCAGATAAGGCTTTCCAGTGTAGTCCGTTTAGGGAGGAGTACCCATACCCTGTAAGTAAACTCCTTGCCCAGGCTCTGTAAGGAAGCTCAATAAATCCTTTGGCTCCCCAGAGTGAGTTTTGGTAGAATTGTACCTCAGTTTGTCGTTGAAATCTTGGAAGAAGCATAGATGTTGCTTTACATCTCTCCATGGGGAGAATTTTAGCAACAATTACAGATAACCTGTCATGGTTTGAATAAAAATGGTCCCTAAGCAGTGGTTCTCAACCTTCCTAATGCTGTGACCCTTTAATAAAGTTCCTCATGTTGTGGTCATCCCCCAACCATAAAATTATTTCCACTGCTACTTCATAACTATAATTCTGCTAGTGTTATGAATCATAATATAAATATCTGACATGCAGGGTATCTGATATGTGACCCTCAAAGGGGGGGGCAACCCATAGGTTGAGAACTGCTACCCTATAGTCTCATATATTCCAATGCTTAGTCATTGGGAAGTGGAACTCTTTGGGAAGGATTAGGAGGTGCAGCCTTGTTGGAGTAAATGTGGTCTTAATTGGAGGAGGTGTGTCACTGGGGGGGCAGTGGGCTTGTTGTTTCAAAAGTTCAGGTCAGGCCCAGTCTCTCTCTCTCTCTTTCTCTCTCTCTCTCTCTCTCTCTCTCTCTCTCTCTCTCTCTGTTTGTTGCCTGTGGATTGGGATGTAAAGCTCTCAGCTCCTGCTCCAGCACCATGCCTGTCTGCTTCTCTGAAGTGTGATCCTAATTAATTTCAACAATAAAAACCTGGAGTCAGATATGGAGGGTGAAAGCTGAAAAATCAGAGAAGCAGAACAGCAAGCCACTAGAGACTTCTTACCTCTATGAAATCTCAGACTGAATGAGGGTGATCTTGTCTCTATGAATCTTCAGAGTGAATGAGGGGAACCTGTCTCTATGAATCCTCAGACTGAAGGGGGCAAGATCCTGTATCCACAATTCTCAGCAAAAACATAACCTTATACTTTAAAAATATCCATCCTTCTTAACTGTTTTCATTTTATTTTGTAGATATGAGTTGAATACAAATTACATTCAACATACACTATGTTAACATTACCTGTGTACGTGTCCCCAAACCACCAGGCTTTTGGTGTTGTTGCAAATCTTAGAC